AGAGTGTTGTAATACGCATGCGTATTACAAACTGTCTTTTGTGTATTACACTTGTAATACGGAGTGTATTACACCTTGTATTACAGAGTGTATTACACGGTCTATTGGGAAGGGCCTTGGGAAATGTTGGGTTGGGAAGTGCTCATCGTTGCTCCGAAGGAATCAAGTGTTTACGTCGCCTGGTAAGACGGTCTATAAAGGTTTGGCTGAAGCAAAGAAGGCTTTGCTTGGTCGAGCCGAAGCAGATTCTGATGCCGGCGGCGAGACCCTTGCGGACTCCGATCCCAGCGCGTATACCCTTGTAGACTCCGAGACCGGTGAGGACACCCAACCCTACCCGACCAAAGACATGTAGTACAGAGTGTAATACAGTTGTAATACACATGTAATACAAGTCATAGACAGTATAAGAGACCCTCTAGCAGACCCTCTTTTAGTAAAGTGGGAGCCTGCGGCTTAATTTGACTCAACACGGGGAAACTTACCAGGTCCAGACATAGTAAGGATTGACAGATTGAGAGCTCTTTCTTGATTCTATGGGTGGTGGTGCATGGCCGTTCTTAGTTGGTGGAGTGATTTGTCTGGTTAATTCCGTTAACGAACGAGACCCCCGCCTGCTAAATAGCTGTGGGAATGCGCTTGCATTGCCTCAACTTCTTAGAGGGACTTTCGGTGACTAACCGAAGGAAGCTGGGGGCAATAACAGGTCTGTGATGCCCTTAGATGTCCTGGGCCGCACGCGCGCTACACTGGCACACGCAACGAGTCTATCACCTTGGTCGGCAGGCCTGGGTAATCTGTGAACGTGTGCCGTGATTGGGATTGATTGTTGCAATTTTCAATCATGAACGAGGAATTCCTAGTAAACGCGAGTCATCAGCTCGCATTGATTACGTCCCTGCCCTTTGTACACACCGCCCGTCGCACCTACCGATTGAATGGTTCGGTGAAACCTCCGGACTGGGGTTCGCAAGCTTCACGGCGAACGTACCTCGGGAAGTTGGTTAAACCTCACTATTTAGAGGAAGGTGAAGTCGTAACAAGGTCTCCGTAGGTGAACCTGCGGAGGGATCATTACCTAATATCCACACCTAACACACACCCCAGCGAACCGGTACTCTTAGTAGTACCTCTGACTTCGGTGTACTCTTGATTGGGTCATCGTCCACAGTCACTCACACTCCGATTCTAACCAAACGGGTGAACCAGCGCATGCTGACGCCGAAAGATTAGTGTAACAACTAATTTTGATCAAGCGAAATGCCATACAACTCTTACCGGCGGATGTCTTGGCTCCCACAACGATGAAGAACGCAGCGAAATGCGATACGTAATGCGAATTGCAGAATCCAGTGAATCATCAAACCTTTGAACGCATCTTGCGCTCCCGGGATATGCCTGGGAGCATGCGTGACGGAGTGCTTGTCCCCCACATCACCCCACGGAGTGTTACTACTCTTGTGGCGGTCGAGTCTGCGCTTCGATGGACCAATTGGTCGATCGTGGCGCCAAGTCAAGCTCTCGTCGCGCCGCCTCATTCGGTCCGTCCGAGGCGGGGTACTAGGCTTTCTCGTAAAGCACCTAACTCACCCAGCCGAGGACCGAAGAGCTTTTGAGTAAGCAGTGAGACGGCGGAGAGGCCCAGTCCTTTACTTATCTTCGGATCGAGGACGCCTGTTTAGTAATAAACACTCAATCTTGAGCCTCCGTGACGCAAGAGGACCCGCTGAATTTAAGCATATAACTAAGCGGAGGAAAAGAAACTAACAAGGATTCCCCTAGTAAGGGCGACTGAAGCGGGATCAGCCCAGATTGTAAACTGACCTTAAATACAAGGTTGGGTTGTAGTCTAAAGAGGCGACGCCAGGCAAGGTCCGGGGAGAAGTCCCTTGGAACAGGGCATCGGAGAGGGTGACAATCCCGTCTGTGCCTCGGACCGCGTCGTACGGTGCGTCTTCGACGAGTCGGTTTGCTTGGGATTGCAGACCAAACGGGTGGTAAATTCCATCTAAGGCTAAATACGGGTGGGAGACCGATAGCGAACAAGTACCGTGAGGGAAAGATGCAAAGAACTTTGAAAAGAGAGTTAAAAAGGGCCTGAAACTGGTAAGAGGGAACCGAACGGCAGAAGTGGTGATGGGCGCGTATTTTCCGCCGGGCTCTTGGCCGGCGTACTTGTGCGCGTCCGTAGGTCAGCGTGGGTTGGGGCGTGGGAGTCGTTCATGGGAAGGTCTTCGGACCAATCTCGTGTTCAGGCCGCGCCTGAGACCTTCGGTGACGAAATTCTTCCGTTCACCCCGTCTTGAAACACGGACCAAGGAGTCTAAAATACGAGCGAGTGCGCCGGTGGCAACCCGGGGCGCGTAATGAAAGTGAGACCGACGGTGGGAGGGCTTTACGTCCGCACCATCAACCGACCAGGATCCTTCGGGTGAAAGGTTTGAGTGTAGCTTGTATTTTGGGACCCGAAAGATGGTGAACTATGCCTGAATAGGGCGAA